ACGTTTCTGTGGCCCTAAGTAATGGTTCTGTGGCCCTCAGTAACAATTCTGTGTCCCTGAGTAACGTTTCTGTGGCCCTAAGTAACGGTTCTGTGGCCCTCAGTAACAATTCTGTGGCCCTCAGTAACAATTCTGTGTCTGTCCCTGAGTAACAATTCTGTGGCCCTAACTAACGTTTCTGTGGCCCTAAGTAATGGTTCTGTGGCCCTCAGTAACAATTCTGTGTCCCTGAGTAACGTTTCTGTGGCCCTAAGTAATGATTCTCTGTCCCTAAGTAACGTTTCTGTGGCCCTAAGTAACGATTCTCTGTCCCTAAGTAACGTTTCTGTGGCCCTAAGTAACCTTTCTCTGTCCCTAAGTAACGGTTCTGTGGCCCTAAGTAAAGTTTCTGTGGCCCTAAGTAACATTTCTGTGGCCCTAACTCTGTCCCTAATACAGAGAGGTCTGCCTCTCTTGAATGACTGGAGGCAAATGCAGAATTCTAAAATGGCCGCCATTTATAGCTCAACCATTACACAGTGCTGGCTGGCTGGCTGCTGATTGGCTAATGCGATCACATGTCATTAATGAATGCATTATGGGTCAGCGCGCCTTGTCTGCGCGCCTTCCCAGACATCCCCGCTCCGTCGCCGCACATGTCGCCGCCATTTTAGAAAAAAATTTCGATTCGCGCATCCGAAGTATGCTAATTTTCGGATTCGGCGTGAATGGAAATTTTTCCAATATTCGAAACGAATTCCACTTCGCCTACTTCGATTCGCTCATCTCTACCTATAACTTTAGAAATATGCGTAACTGTTTTCTGTGCTGATGTCATTATTCTGGTGTTAAAGTGTTCTTCAGTAATGCATGTGTTGCTGTGAATGTGAGGTAGAGACTTGTCTGATACAGCTGTACCTATCACAATGTGTTTGGCTAACAGTGCTCTTATCCACTGAGGATACTTTTCACGGCATTCTCTGAATGTATCTTCCTCAAGAATTCTTCTTAGTGAACTGTCAGGAGACTGTAATATGATACTATGTGACTTTACTGTGCTTTGTGAAGCTTTGATTGCATAAAAGAAACTCAACAGTTGTTGTTCCTCTGATGTAAAAGTTCTTTCCAATGGTGATAAATTTCTGGAGAAGTAACTAATTAGTCTCTCATTACCTTCTTTTAATTGAGACAAAGTTACTGAAATTGCATTATCAGATACATGAGTTTTCACAACAAAAGGAGCATTGGAACAAACCTCAATTGTACTTAATGCTGGCGCATTCTGCAAATCCTTTTTCAACACTTTTAAAGCATTATTCTCATTTGGACCCCATTGGTCAACTAAGTTATTTTTACTCTTCAAAAGATGATGTAATGGCTTAACTTTCTCGGCGAAACCATGTATAAACTCTTTGCAATGATTTATGTTTTTCAAAAATTGTTGCAATGCTTTATGTGTTGTAGGAACTGGAAAGGCAGTGATAGCTCTGACTGTTTCATGTAATAATTGTCTCTTTCCTTGACTAATCTGCATGTGAAAGCATTTCACCTGACTTTTCATCAGCTGAACTCTTTCCGGGTTTAATTTTAAGCCTGCATCCTGTAACAACATAAATAACTCAGACAAAAGTGTAATATGTTCGTTAACATTCTGCGTACTTAGCATAATTGTATTTACATGCTGAAAAATGCATTCTGGCTGTCAGGGCTCCCAGGTATGACCAGAGGTGTGTGACTGATGCAGGGAAACGCAGACTTCAGATATGTGATAAACAATACAATTTATTAACACTAACAATACAAACATAAACGCAGTGCAATACTAAAACATAACACAGTGCAACCAAACCCAACCAACCACCCACAGATAACAGTATATACAAGCAAGCGTCGTCAGGCAGGCCGGGTCAATATCAATAGGGCAGGTAGGTACAGGGGGAGCAAGCAGAGAATGGTCGGGGTCACAGGCCAGGTTCAGCAGGTAGCAAGCAGCGTAGTACAGAGGGTCAAGCAGAGAGATGGTCAGGGTCACAAGCCAGGGATCAGGACAGGTAGCAGAGAATCAGACAGGAACAGAGAGCAGGAACAGGATACAGGGCCAAGAGAAACACAACACCAAGGCAGAGTCTGTGGGTCTGGCCATCCCTTAAATACCCCAGCATCATCAGTTACAGGTGTTAGCTGGCTGCAAAGTTGAGTCTCTGATTGCAGGGAACACCCGCTGGCCAGCCCTGGTACTGCAGATCAAAAGGCAGGTGAGTCCCACCATTGCTGGCCAGTCCATTCCTAACAGTACCCCCCCCCAAGGAGCGGCCTCAGGACGCTCCAAACAGTCCTAGCTGGGCAAAATGTTCCACCGCCCGGGTCTGGCAACTGGCGGGATATCAAAGACTGGCACACCGGGCAGGACTCCGGGCAGCGGCACACCGGGCTGGACTCCGGGCAGAGGCACATCGAGCAGAGGCACACCGGGCAGAGGCACACCGGGCAGGACTCCGGGCAGAGGCACATCGGGCAGGACTCCGGGCAGAGGCACATCGGGCAGGACTCCGGGCAGAGGCACATCGGGCAGGACTCCGGGCAGAGGCACATCGGGCAGGACTCCGGGCAGAGGCACATCGGGCAGGACTCCGGGCAGAGGCACATCGGGCAGGATTCCGGGCAGAGGCACATCGGGCAGGACTCCGGGCAGAGGCACATCGGATTACCAGGCGAAGCAGCAGGCAGCGGGCCACCAGGCGGAGCAGCAGGCACCAGGCCCCCGGGCGGATCAGCAGGCACCGGGCCCCCGGGCGGGGCTACAGGCACCGGGCCCCCGGGCGGAGCAGCAGGCACCGGGCCCCCGGGCGGAGCAGCAGGCACCGGGCCCCCCGGGCGGAGCAGCAGGCACCGGGCCCCCGGGCGGAGCAGCAGGCACCGGGCCCCCGGGCGGGGCTACAGGCACCGGGCCCCCAGGCGGAGCGACAGGTCTCGGGCCCTCAGGCGGAGCGACGGGCGCCGGACCTCCAGAAGGAGCGACAGGTCTCGGGCCCTCAGGCGGAGCGGCGGGCGCCGGACCCCCCGGCGGAGCGACAGGTCTCGGGCCCTCAGGCGGAGCGGCAGGCGCCGGACCCCCAGGCGGAGCGACAGGTCTCGGGCCCTCAGGCGGAGCGGCGGGCGCCAGACCCCCAGGAGGAGCGACAGGTCTCGGGCCCTCAGGCGGAGCGGCGGGCGCCGGACCCCCAGGCAGGCGGAGCGACAGGTCTCGGGCCCTCAGGCGGAGCGGCGGGCGCCGGACCCCCAGGAGGAGCGACAGGTCTCGGGCCCTCAGGCGGAGCGGCGGGCGCCGGACCCCCAGATGGAGCGACAGGTCTCGGGCCCTCAGGCGGAGCGGCGGGCGCCGGACCCCCAGGTGGAGCGACAGGTCTCGGGCCCTCAGGCGGAGCGGCGGGCGCCGGACCCCCAGGAGGAGCGACAGGTCTCGGGCCCCCAGGCGGAGCGGCGGGCACCGAGACACCAGGCACGACAGTGGGCTCCGAGTCAACTGGTATGACCGCAGGCACTGGGTCAGACATTGGATGGTCTGGCTGGACAGCGGGCATCGGGTCACCAGGCATCAGGTCATTTTTGGCTCGACAGCGGGCACCGCATCATCTGGCAAGGCAGTGGGGGCTCCGAGTCAACTGGTATGACCGCGGGCACTGGGTCAGACATTGGATCGTCTGACCGGACAGCGGGCATCGGGTCACCAGGCATCAGGTCATTTGGCTCGACCGCGGGCACCGCGTCATCTGGCAAGGCCGTGGGCTCCGAGTCAACTGGCATGACCGCGGGCACCGGGGCAGACATTGAATCGTCTGGCTGGACAGCGGGCATCGGGTCACCAGGCATCAGGTCATTTGGCTCGACCGCGGGCACCGCGTCATCTGGCAAGGCAGTGGGCTCCGAGTCAACTGGTATGACCGCGGGCACTGGGTCAGACATTGGATCGTCTGACTGGACAGCGGGCATCGGGTCACCAGGCATCAAGTCATTTGGCTCGACAGCGAGCACCGCGTCATCTGGCAAGGCAGTGGGCTCCGAGTCAACTGGCATGACCGCGGCGGGCACCGGGGCAGACATTGAATCGTCTGGCTGGACAGCGGGCATCGGGTCACCAGGCATCAGGTCATTTGGCTCGACAGCGGGCACCGCGTCATCTGGCAAGGCAGTGGTCTCCGAGTCAACAGGCACGACAGTGGGCACCGGGTCATCAGGTACCGGATTGTCTGGCTCGACAGCGGGCATCGGGTCATCAGGTATGACAGCGGACACTAGGTCACCAGGCATCAGGTCATTTGGCTTGCCAGCGGGCACCGCGTCATCTGGCAAGGCAGTGGGCACCGAGTCACCAGGTACGACAGCGGGCTCTGAGTCAATTGGCACGACAGCGGGCACCGGATCAGGTACCGGATCATCTGGATCAACAGCGGGCATCGAGTCAACTGGCCTAATAGGATCGTCAGGCTGGATCAGTTCATCATGCTGGGTAGAGGCATTAGACCGAGTAGAGGCTTCAGGCCGAGTAGTAGAGGCATCAGGCCGAGTAGTAGAGGCATCAGGCCGAGTAGAGGCTTCAGGCTGAAGAGAGGCATCAGGCCGAGTACAGGCATCAGGCCGAGTACAGGCATCAGGCCGAGTAGAGGCTTCAGGCCGCGTAGAGGCTTCAGGCTGAGGAGAGGCTTCAGGCCGAGTAGAGGCTTCAGGCCGAGAGTAGAGGCATCAGGCAGAGTACAGGCATCAGGCCGAGTAGGGGCTTCAGTCTGAACCACGGAAGGCAGGCTCACCGGTTTGGATACTGGCAGGATGGTATTGGTTGGAAAGAATTTTCGCTTTTTTCTGGTTTTAACTACTGGAGCACTGCAAGTAAACGCAGGTCTGCAAACGAATGGAGCAGCTGGAGACAGAGAAGAACTGGAGGATGGAACAGGAGAGGGAGCAGTTGCTACAGAGGGCTTTTTTTACAGGATTAAAGGCAGGATAGGTGCAGCGAGTGGGGAACAGGGTACTGACATGCGGTAGATAGCCAAGTATACTGGGCTGTAACTGGAGGAGCTGGTGGGAATACAGGAGTAGAGTTAGAAGCAAGCAGGACTGGGTCTTTGTAAGCTGACTGAGGCTGGGTGCAACAAGTCTGTCCATGTCTGCAGTAGGGGTTGAACAAAGCTGAGCTTACACAAAGCCTGTCTGGTCAATGACTGCACTGCGTTTATACAATCTCGCAGTGTCAGTGTGGTGAACATGTGGAATAACGCTCCAGAAAGTAACCCACATCATCCTCTAATAACCACACCAGGGACTCTACCTGGTCTGCACTAAATGGTGGCAAAAATTCATCCCTGCATTCGGGGGAACCAGATGAAACCAACTCTGCACAAACCTCAATCAATGGCTGCACCTCAGAGAACACTGTGCCCTGATCTACTAGAACATGAGCGAGCCGTATACATTCTAGCAATTCATCCCGGGTATACTCCTTCAGAGTTTGATAAGCATACTCCCTGTCATCAAACACTAGCAGATATAAATACTCAACCTCATCAAGATCCATCCTTCCCATCAACAAGCCAAGATGGCTTCCCTGTGCAGCCACTTCTGGTCAGGATTGGCCTTGGTGTAATGTCAGAGCTCCCAGGTATGACCAGAGGTGTGTGACTGATGCAGGGAAACGCAGACTTCAGATATGTGATAAACAATACAATTTATTAACACTAACAATACAAACATAAACGCAGTGCAATACTAAAACATAACACAGTGCAACCAAACCAACCACCCACAGATAACAGTATATACAAGCAAGCGTCGTCAGGCAGGCCGGGGGTCAATATCAATAGGGCAGGTAGGTACAGGGGGAGCAAGCAGAGAATGGTCGGGGTCACAGGCCAGGTTCAGCAGGTAGCAAGCAGCGTAGTACAGAGGGTCAAGCAGAGAGATGGTCAGGGTCACAAGCCAGGGATCAGGACAGGTAGCAGAGAATCAGACAGGAACAGAGAGCAGGAACAGGATACAGGGCCAAGAGAAACACAACACCAAGGCAGAGTCTGTGGGTCTGGCCATCCCTTAAATACCCCAGCATCATCAGTTACAGGTGTTAGCTGGCTGCAAAGTTGAGTCTCTGATTGCAGGGAACACCCGCTGGCCAGCCCTGGTAC